ATGCATTTAAAAAGGGTATGCATTTATATAGAGTGCATTTATAGAGAGTTGATTGTAATATAATTACAAATAAACTTAAAATTTTGTTAAAATATAGTTATTTAAAAGCAAGATATTCTTTAAATAAAAAATTTAAATTGTTACTTTTATTGATAGATTTTATTAAAAAACTTATAATTATTTAAAGAATATGTTAATTTAAATGAATAATTTAACAAATATTATATATAATAAAGATTGACTAACTAATCTGTTAATACTAATATAAGTATTATAATAATTTATTTTTTTTATATTTAATATATTAAATTTTGAATACTTTAAACTAAATAAGTTCGTCAAGATAACAATATGCATATAAAATATTTATAAAGTATTTAATAAATATATTAAATCTTAAGTACTTTTAAATATAAGCATATTTTTTTATAGGTTATTATTTAAAATTAACAATGATTTTGAAGATTTTTTTATTTAAAAGAAACTGAACTATTATTTTTCATTTTTAAGAAATATATTCTATTTATTAAGAATTCTACATGAATAAATTTAAGAAAAAAATAATTGTATATTTATAATCTAAATAATAAGCTACTTGTGTTTATATTTAAATTTTTATTTCTTTTAAACAGATAAAAAATAATTATATATATTTTATTACCATAATTTAGTTTAGTTAATATTAGTTATTATTACATAATCATATATTTACATCTTTTTTAAGAATTTAAAAGTTGTTATTAAACCTGTTAAAACTTTCAAGACCTATTGAAACCTATCAATACCTATTAAAATCTATTAAAATCTATTAACGCTATTGAAACTTGTTGAAATCTATTGAAATATTAATATAATTTTTAAAAAGTTTTAACTTTACCAAAATGGTTTAGAATTTTGTTCTGCAACTATAGTACAAGAACTTGTTAAAAAATTAGAAGAATTACCTTATGAAAAAGATGATAATTTTTCAAATAAAGTTTAATGAACAGATAGGAATAAAATACAAATTAGTAGATAATAATATAAGTAAACTTAATAAAAAATAAATTTAATTCAATTACTATATGTATTTTTTTTTTATTCTTTTCATATTAACCTTATTTATATATGATTTGCTTATCTTGTATTTTAATATCATAAAGTTTTGATATATATTATCATTTATCAAAACTTTTACAATTTTATCTTAAAAAAATTTGGTAAAATATTTCAATAGATTTCGATTTAATGCCTATCAAAATCTTTAAATTTTGTTTAATAATATTAATTTCTTAACTATTTATATAAGAAAATTATACGAATAATATTATTATTTAAATATTTCTTAAAATAAGCCTTAATTAAATTTAGGAACTTAGTTTTAGTTCAATTTTAAAAACTAATTTCAACCTCTAATTTTATAAATTTTTTATTATAAAAAAATTATGATTTAAATAAAAATATTTTAGTTCTTAAGATAAAATTAATTTAGAAATTTTTTATAAGATTAAGCCAATGTTATTATTACAATAGAGGAATCTTAAAAATCTTTGTTTAATTCTACAAGAAATTTTAAATTTTTATTTAATTATATATAATTATATATGATTTGATATATAACATCAGAAATAAAATAAATATTATTATTATTATTTTTTATTGAATTATCTATATTTAATAAAAAATATTCATTTTGTATTTTACAATTTTTACTAATTAAATTTTACATATATTGTTACTGGATTTGTTTTTGATAATTTTAATATTTAAGTCAAAAGATTATAGCAATTAATTTTATACACTAGAGTTTTTTGACCTTAGAATTTTCTCTAAGTCTTATAGGCATCTATTATACTTGAATCAATTTAGCAATTTATTACATCTTAAAATTCAAGATATATTTAGTCAAACTTAAATAAAAAGTTATTCTACTTATATAAAAGTAATTACTACATTTAACTATTTATTATACTATAAACTGACTATTTTAATAAACTTTAATTATAAAAAAATAATAAAAGAAAATAAAATAAAAATACAAAATATAAGATAAATTATAAAAATAATAAAAATAAATAAAATAATAAATTAATGAAGACATTTAGAATGAAAAGTTATTTATTATCACAAGTATAATTAAAATTTGCAGTATTAGAAGAATCAGATAAATTTAATTAATTAGGTAAATTATATAAATTCTTAGTTTTTTTCTGATTTACCTTTTGCAGTAATTATTAATTATTGTTGTATATTATCACCTGATAGTTCTCTTATGATATTTTCTGTATTTGTGATGACGTTTAATTCTAATATTAATAATATATATAAAATAGATTTATAATTACTTTTGTTATTCAAGGTAAAATTTTACATATAATCATAATAAATACAATAAAAGTTTAAAAAATTTTACTGTATATTGCTTATATTCTAACCTTGAAAAATAATAAATGAATATTAAACATAATCTATAGATGAGGGATAAAACCTCTTAATAACAGTCAAAACTTTGATGAAACTATATTAAAATCATAATAAGAGATATGACAAAACCCATTCAATATGACGAAAGCTGAAACTGTCAAAACTATATTAAAAACATAGAAAAGGGTATGATGAAATTATTTTGAGGAGATTTCGGCAGGCATCTATAACATAATCATTTCAAGAAGCTTGATTATTTAATTAAAATATATTTTTGATAATATGAATTTTTAATGATATTTCTGCATTTATTCACTTTTTTGCTTAATTTATTCTTTAGTGATACTAACAATCTCTATATATTTTGACTGATTTTAGTATTATATCTCATAAATATTAAATTTGAAATTTATATAACTGTTTTATAAGCTACAGCTATACCTATAGCTACAGCTATAACTATATGTTATTATATTATCATTAGAATAAATTTGTGATTAAAACTTTTCTATAATACTTTTGTATTATGTTAAATTTAACCATAATATTTTAAATAAATATATTTTTATTGCTTTCACTAAACTTTATTTATTTTAAAAATATTTGTTAAAAAATAAAAATTATTATTTGCATTACATTTTTTTGTATTACTTATTTTCAGATATTTAATATATTAACTTTTTGTTTATTTTATTTTTTTTTATATACAAAATTTGTTTATCTTATTTTATTGAAAATTTATGCTTCTTATTTTGTATATTGTAAATTCTATATTTAATCTGATCTTTTTTTTAAAAAAAAAATACAAATATCAAAAAATAATATGCTTAACAATTTTATACATTTTAGATTACAGAAAAAAATTTTGTATGGATTTTTTACAACAAAATTTTTACTTTTTGTTATACAAATTGTTTCAGGTGAAATATAAAAACTTTAATCAAATAACTTAAATCTCAATTTTCATTAAGGTTAATTTTGTATATATGAAGTACTTAATACTAATGATACACAAATTCACATTTTAACATTTTGCATTATTTGGCACTTTAGTTTAAGAAAATCACTTTTTGTGATCTAAGTAAATAGTTCATTGAGTTTGAAATTACCTGAAACTTTATTTTTATTAATGTTGATTTAATATTTTTGAAATTCGTAATAATAATGATACATGAATTTACTTTTTATGCTATTTAATGACATTTAATCATTTTATTTAAAATTTAAATAGAATAAAAAAGTATATAAAATTCTATTAGCATTATTGGTTAAATTTTGACCAAAATTTATAATGCTTATTAAAAAAAATTAAATTAAAAAAAATTTAAATATATAAAAATCATTAAAATAAATTTAAAATATAAGAAATAAATAAATTATTAAAAATTAATAAACAAAATATGATATTAATAATTAAATTAAAAATAAAAAAAAATCATAAGTATTAAATAAGATTAAAAAACAAATTTAAAAAAATTATTAAAAAAAAAATTTCAATTTAAATTTTTAATTCATTATTAAAATATTAATAAAATTGCAGGTATTAAAAAAAAAATAGAAAAATAAATGTATAACCAAAAAAAAATTTATCATATAGTTGTTGGTGTCAGGTGATTCCACTTTATATAGCGTTAGCTATGGCCGTTCCCAAAAGGAAGGAATAAGTATAATGGTTAAGATCATAAATACTTTGTTTTCAATTAATTATTGCAAACGAGAACTATGTACCTTCCCTCTGACAATCCTTAACAATGCTGTTGCTAGAAATAGTAATTCTAATAGAATGAAGTATTTTTTTTTTTGAAAAATTTTTAAAGATGATAATTATAGTAAGTACAGTACATATAAAATAATGTATTTTTAATAAGTATTGTTTTTTCTTTTAATATTTCTTAATCGATTCGAGAAATTTAATATTGTTCATTATATACTAAGTTTGATTAATATCAGTTAATATTTGATATGGGTCACATTGCATTGGCAAAGTTATATCGAATGCATAGAGTATGCTTTATATGTTAAGAAACTTATATACATAAATAAATATTTGTATTATAAGATATTAAAATTTCTAAAGTTACAAAATTTAAAAATTTAATAATTTCTATATATTTTATAGTGTCCAACAGTTTCTCCATACCAATTGAACAAAGATAAAATCTTCGCTCAATTTTTTTTTCAATTCAACATTCACAATAAAAATTCTACGAGGAAAGTTAAACATCTTTCGTCCCATAACTTTGTTTATATACAACTTTATTACCATTTCCTACTAAAATAGAAACTACTTATTCGTCGGCATTAGACGAAATTAATGCACCTTTCTATTGAAAAGATAAGTATTTCATCAAATTCGGATATATCCTCAGTTGAGGAAGCTGTATAATACTGTAAATAATTTTAGAAGTCATGATTTCTTTGTCGCGGCGGATTCCTTTTCTTTGCGAATTTTATGGAATAATTTGTGTTAAAATGTATTGGAGAACTTCGGGCCAACGAAAAAACTTGTGTCCTTTTTTTTTGATTATCGAACATTAATTATTTTTTTTTAGTTTTGGTTTTTTTTTGTCCTCGAAAATTTCAGGCTGCAACGATAGATGGATGGTTGGATTTTGATTGGTAGGTTTTATTCTTCATTTTTTATTCTTTCGATTATTGATTATTTTATTTTAGGTACTTTTCGCTCGATCTGCTGCGGTAAAGCTTTTATTTTTTAACATTATTTTTTTTTTAAATTTTTTTTTTTTTTTTGATTTTATCTTTATTATTTGTTATTTTTTTTTTTTTTTGACTTTATCTTTTCAATGAATTTCTTTTAGGTAATTTCTTTTGCTTCGGGGCATAGTGACTGAATGATTTCTTATTTTTATTTTTCGTTCTTTAGGTTCCTCTTTCGGGTTGGTTCGCTTCCGAAAGTTTTAGACAGCGTGGTGTGAGTGGATATGCTTCAAGCCTCATTAATTGTAATTAGTCTCCTAAGAAGTCGCAGTAATTTCTTTGTGTAAATATTTCGATACCAATTCCAATGATTCAATATACATTCTCATTCTTTCACGAAGTATATAGATAGAACAGATTTTTAATTGTAATTTGTCACAAAGAAAATTATTAAAGCCCTCGTCCGAAATTATATGCAATTTTTTTTTATTCTTCACATCACTTTAACCTAATTTTCTTCAATAAATAAATTGTATTAATTCGGGGGCGATTTACATAATGCCTTTTTTGTAATTTTCGTTAATTCATTCCATTGTATTGGTTCATCATTTTCATTCTTTTGAAGTATGTAGAATTGTTTTCAAGTGGAAAAAAAAAAATAAGTTACGTCAAAGTTGAAGAGTACAAATTTAGAAAGCAGTACCTTTATTTGGTAAGACTAGAAACGGTTAGATCCTTTTATTTTATCCGAACTGCTAATTATGGAAAAGATTACAATTAGAAAAATTTAAACCGAGGGCTGAGCAAGAAAAAAAAAAATAAAAGCTTATCCGAACAAAATAAAAAAAAAAAAAAAAAAATGGTTTTACAAAACAATTTAGAAAAATCCTTAAATGACTTGGAAACGAAAATTAAGGAATTGGAGCAAAGTAACGAAGGGTTACGTTCACAATTCAAAGATTTCAAAGAAAAAGTTAAAGAGCGAGAAGATGAAACCAAAGCAAATATTAATAATTTAGAAGAAAAGGTTAGAGAACGAGAAGAAACCATAGCCAATATTAATAATTTAGAAAAAAAAGTTAGAGAACAAGAAGTAGAAATCAAAGCCAATATTAATAATTTAGAAGAAAAGGTTAGAGAACGAGAAGAGGAAACCAAAACCAAGCAAGAAATTATTAATAATTTAGAAGAAAAGATTAGAAAACGAGAAGAAGTGTTCAAAAAAAAGCAAGAAATTATTAATGAATTAGAAAAGAGAATCAGAAATCTTGAATTAACGTTAATTATTTATAATGATACTATTGAAAGTATAACCATAACAGATGCTAATAAGGATGACATATTGAACACCTTTGGCGGTTTGCAAAGATATCGAAAATTGACAAAACTCAAATTTAGCGATTCTGAAATAACAAGCTTACCAACATTACCAAACTCTTTAACTTATCTTAACTGTTCTGAAACTCAAATAACAAGCTTGCCAACGTTACCTAACTCTTTAACGATACTCGATTGCTCTTTTACTCAAATAACAAGCTTACCAATATTACCAAACTCCTTAATGGAACTCCGTTGCTATAAAACTCAAATAACAAGTTTACCAACATTACTTAACTCCTTAACGAGACTGTATTGCCTTGAAACTCAAATAACAAGCTTACCAACGTTACCAAACTCCTTAATGGAACTCCGTTGCTATAATACTAAAACAACAAACTTGCCAACATTACCATACTCTATAACTTATCTAGACTGTTCTAAAACTCAAATAACTTGCTTACCAAATAAACCCGATTCCTTAACGAGAATCTACCCTTCATATTTAAAAAATCAATAATCAAACAACTATCCTACAACTTCTAACACCTTGATAAAATTTAACTAAAAATTAGTACTTTTTCAACCAATTTAACTTTATGTTCAAGCATTTATTTATTAATTATACAAGCATTTCTTTTATCAATAAAATATTTTTTCTTGATTAATACTGTATTTATTAAACAAGATTTAAATAACAAATAGGTTGTTGATTATATCGTAAAATCAAAAAAAAATTCAAACCCAATTTTCATATTCAGTTGTTTAATCGAGAAAATGATATTATATGTTATTGTGCATGCTTTGATAAACAATTTGATCATTTAGATATTATCGTGATTAAAATTATGAGAGAATTTCATTATCACTCTCTTTCTCGTCATTTGAACTAAATTTTTTAAAAAAATGGAAGAACTACTGTTTAAGAGCTACGAAAAAAGGGTAAATTTGTTTAATTTTATTATGATAAGCTTATAATTTAACAAATTTTTATTTTTAGGCGAATTTAACTGGAAAAAAATATCTTAACGAACTTATTAATATATTATAGAAGACGAATTGCTTTATTTAATAAAATAGCAACATTTGTATGCTAAAAAACTATATTTCAACATATGGCAATTTTTTAATGGTAATCATCGATTATTTTGTTTTTTATATTATCCTTAATTTCGAAAAATATAGATGAGAGTACAACCATAATACTGCAACAATAAAAAAAGACCTTTTTTGTCAACCACTACAAATAACAAATGATATTCAAAAATTACAGCTGATAAAAATTAATTAATTTTGTTGGGGTTCTATTCCGCATAATTGAATTGATATCGCGAAAAGTGAAAAAAAAAATAAATTATCTAAATACTTGTTAGAAAAGTTTTTATGGGATATTTATTAATTAGCCCCTTAGAAAAACAATGACAAGCCCGAGGTAAAATAGAAACAAGTTACTAGATATTAATAAAAGTATAAAACAAGTTTATATATTTAAAAACAAGATCGTCTACATCAATATGGGTGAGCACGATATTTAAATTATAAAGAAACTCGCAGCAATAAAAATTTGTGACAATATAGCTTTCACATGTTTAATTAATAGTAAGGATGTTTTGAATCCACTTCAAATGTAAGTCTAAATATCCTATTGTTGTATAATAAATGAAATTTGATCCAAAATTAATATATTTGGTTTTATAGGCCTTTGCTTTAATTTCATTTTGTTAAAAAGAATAAATTATATTAATGTCAATTTATTATTTATAAATATAAATTACAAATCAAACCATTTTATGTTAATTCATTCTTACAATTTCTACACTTCAGGCCGAAAAAATTTATTAAAATTTATTTTTCATATTTTTTTCATATTTTTCATTAAATTGTATTGTTTATTATTTTTTTTTTTTTATTATATATTATTTGATTCAATTGACCAAATATAATCTAACATATAGAAGGCAGTTTTATTTTTAAAATACTGCCTAATTCAGCACTGCGCTCTAATATCAAAAATCTGCCCACATTTATTTTATTTGCTTTTTTATTACTTTTTAAATTTTTTTTTTTATAAACAAAAGAACAAAAATAATTTATTCTTCAAGAAAATTTTGATAGATAAGTTGGCCACATGAGTTTTATTTTAATGTTATCTTTATCAATAAATTTTTTTGTTTGGCAATTTCTTTCAGGTTAGGTTACATGTTATTAAATTATTAATATTATTATCATTAGATTGCTTTAGAGCACAGTGACTGTTTTTTTAAAATTTTGCACTATTAAGGCCCTTCTTTTTATTTCATAAGCACCATGCCAAACGATATTATTTACTTAAAAAATTCAATAATTTAAACTAATTTGCATGAAGCATGTGAATCTGACAATTCAATATAACATTAACAAACCTAAACATTTTTCTTAATTTAGAGGCGTGTCTTGAAGCAGATGAACCACATGTCGCGTCTACTTACTCATAACGCAAATAACAGTCACCACCACCAGTAAAAGGACCATACTTTTTAGACGTATAATTATTGGAAGTATGAAAGGAAGGAATGGTCTTTCGTGCACTAGTTGCAACATGTTTAAACGCGAGATAATCTCTAATCTTTCTAAAGTTTCGCTTCGACGATGAAATAATTTTATCTGAACCTATTGAAAAACTAAAATGATTGCGATTACAACATATAATACAAAGTATTATTTGAACAATCGCTTCATTTGAATGTTGTTATGGGTTAATTATTTCTTTTTAAAAACATTACACTAATATATTAAATTTGCTCTCTTCGATATCTATTTGAATTCCTTTACTGTACCTAAAACCATTAGTGAAATTTCAACACCATCAATATAGTTGACGATGTCATTTCCAAATTGTTCATAGGAAATATCTCGTATTCAAGCTGTACAGAAAAAGTGCGTCCAAATGAAGGCTCAACGAATTCAATTAACAAAGTGGATTCTGCTATCCAATTGATAATACCATCACTCAGAATGTTAATCCGACCAAAATACACGTATTTCAATGATACTGTGCAATCCTACATTCAATCGTCGAGATCGAAGACGTCTCTGTAACTAATCGAACAATGAACTTTTTGCATTGCAGATATCATTTCAATACGGATATTCAATTTATTGCTATTTCGTCCTTGATGGATTTACCTTCAGTTTAAAAAAGTATAAGATAATTAGCAGTCAAAAAAAAGCAGAATTCAACACAAATGAATTTAATGCAATTTTGGAGTGGCTCATTAACACACACTACACTTATTTTAAGAGAGGTAGCAGCGAAATTTAGAGATGGTATCCTTTTTAAGGCTCTTTTACGTAGGTAATTTATGCATTTATATTAAAATTAACCAAGTTATAATAAATATTCCCTATTTAAATGATGCGGCTTCGCATGATGTTCAAAATCTAAAGGCTCTTGTGACAAGCCAAAGGAGGTACTGTTGTTTTACAATTATATTTTTTAATTTAATTTTAATAATGATTTAATTTTTTTATTTTATTTTCTTCATTTTGATTTTGTTTGATATAATCGAATTATTGTAATTTTTTTTCAAATGAATATAATTTTCAAACCATTTTTATTTTATATTATTAATTTAGTGAGTTTTTCACCGCTTTTTTCGAAAAGGAAGTGTGGGAAGAGCGGTTTTGCATGAAAGTAAAATAGGTAGTGGTAAGTATATGTTAGGAAACTGCGGTTTTTTCTCACCTTTATTGCAGTTCTTTTTCCTACTAATGAAAAAGTAAAAAACAAATAAATGATGAAATTATTACCGAAGTTCCTTGAACAAATGGTAGAACATAAGAGAACTATTTTTGGTCCAGTTTTGTTTGTTTTATACACCAGTCCATTTTATGAAACTTTAAATTTACGCTCAACGTCCTTGGTAAATTGGTAGATTTTGCTAATTTTTAAATATACTTTAAGTTCGGTTTTTTTGGGGATTTAAACTTACGATCAAGCCCACCTCGTATTAGTCACAGGTAGCATTTACTGTCTATAGACGGTCATTTGTTGATCACAAATCTTTTTTATGGCAGTAATAAAAAGCTTATTCGAACCTGAAGGTTTAATAGGTGGTCAAGAGGTAATGAGTCATGATGATTCGATTTGTCAGAACAGAAGAGGAACTGAAGGTGATGAGTATATGGATTTTGATGAATTAGAATTATTTCTTTTGAGTTAAAACAATGTCTTATATGCTGAATGTAGTTCATGAATAAGCATTTCATTTCTTGAAGATTTGTAACGAATTCTTTTGAATTTTCATAGGTTGGGTACAAGTTACCATTCGACAGCACAGTAAGGCCCTATCCGGTTCACCACATAAAAGGAATTATGCAAAAGAGTCTAAAAGGACTTGTACATTAAGTTAATAGTTTAATTCTCGCGATCCTGGTTATTTTTTAAAAAAATTTTTGAAAGTTGAATATATATGAAAGAAATTTTGTAATAATTTATCGATTCTGCTTCAAAACCTATATATTGTAAGTAATTATAAAAGGCGGAATTTTCAAACATATCATTAGATAAAATAATTAAAATAAAAAAATATGTCGGCCCTCGCCTCAAAAAGTAATAAAAGTTTTCCGTTATTCAAACCCTTGTATTTTTAAATCAATTTACATCTTTAGCGGCGGTAATTCATTGTTATTCCATCGCATCGCAAAGTTTGAAATCTTATAAAGATTTATAATTAATGCAAAGTAAGATTAAAAATGATTTCCTTTAATTCGCTTCCTTACGGTAGATGATATCAATATAAAAAGCTTACAAGAGTATAGAGAAGCTTGTAAGAAAAGATAAAAAATTAAAAATCTTAAAATGTTTCATGAAAATCTATATTATGGTTGTTTTTAAAAATAAATATTAAATTAAAATAAGAAAAATATTAATGATGGATGAAATATTTTACTCTTTTTGTAAAAGAAAAAATATTATAGATTTAATATTACATCCGAAAAAAAAAAAATACTCAAGAACACTTCACTCTATTTCATCTAATTCCGAAAAAATCTTTGGTTAATTAAAGCAGAAATTGATGTTTGGGAATACTCACTCATTAAAATTTACCTGAAAGTTGGTCGGATGTTTCGGATGATGGTTTCAAAACGATGGAAGCAGACTATGGTTGAGAAAAATTCAACGAGTGGAAGGAAGCTCGACTTCATCTATTACTCGCCTGTTGTTTCTTGTGATCTCCGAACATTTGTTATGCAAGAAGTGAACAGACATTTGTGGTGTAATGGTAGGTGTTTGATCTTCTCCAAAATTTTTGGAGAAGATTAAACTCCTTTCCTGCATTAAAATGCATGTTTATAATAACTATTGAAACAAAATGTGACATTTTCTCAGGGTATAATATGAAGTATTTTTCGTATGAAATGTTTTCAGTTTCTCGAATATGAATAAAGTTATAGACATGATAAAAAAACATGTATTAAATTTATGATTTAAAAGATTTACAGCGTTCAAAAACTTTTGAAGATATATGGTGAATAGTTTAGTAAATTCAAGTAGTTTTCACGAGTTAAACCTTTTCAGAAATACTTTTAATAGTCATTATTAGTATAGTATTTATTGTCCTATGGATCAACTTGAATGCCGATTTCTAGTTATAATGAATTCCGAATTTTCTCGTCTTACGCATCGATTCAACAAAGAAATTGTCTAAATAAAAAAAAAATTAAATAGATAAAAATTAAAAAATACCTTTTATGAATCCTACCGAAGGAGGAACTTTAAATAAAAGAAAAGAGCCAAAGTTCCAAAAACAAAAATTAAGAAACCGTTCGTTGAGCCTGAACCTAACTAAAATAAAATCTCAAAATTCTTTTTTTTTTTATTGTTTTTTTTATACGGCATTTTCTTATAATCACAGTTCATGAAATGTGTTAGAAGTTAGAAAGAAGTTAATTCATCTCTACTCCCTCGTAATATCAATCCAAATTCAAAGACAAGTATAACTTTTTTCTAACAGAAAATTTTCTTTCGTATATTACGTCATCAATCATTTGGAAGTTAAATTACCGTGACCACTTAATAAAATGAATCCTGTAAATGTCTTGAAACGTAATTAATAAATCCAACGTAAAAATTGTAAAATCACATGTAATATTTTATTTTTAGATAATATGGGACCTTTGGAGAAACAGCCGAAAAAAAATCAATTTTACTTCTATGCCAAATAAGATTTTTAGATCAAAATATGTTCAGGTTTATCACTAATTCAATTTTTATCTTTTCCAGCCGTTTCCCCCTTTTATATTGCAAAAGTCCCATATAGTCATATCTAAGAAAATACAAAAAACAAAAAAAAATCAATTGTTAAAATAAAATAAAAATAATTAAAATCAATTAACTGAAAAATTAAATTGGAAAAATTAATTTAATTAATAAAAATAAAAATTCTTTTTTATCAATATAATTAAATGTTCAAAAATTAGTTTTATATTTTTATTTATCATAAAATAAAATTTAAAGTTTAAATGAATTGGTTATACAATCAATTACTTAATACTAAACAGGGGACGAAGTACTGCAAACTCTAGTCATTAATTAAAATTTAACGTAATTTTTTATTTAAAAAAATAATTAATAATTTAGATTGTAAGGCATTATTTGTATTTAATTATTCTTTTTTACTGTAATTTAAACATAACTAAATTTTTTATATAAATAATTTATATTGTAATAGATGGTAAATTATTTTTAAGAAATATTTAGTAATTTAGATTGTAAGTTATTAATTATTAGTATTTAATTATACTTTTTTATTGCAATTTGAACTCAACTAAATTTTTTATTTTAAATGAAAAAAAAGAAGAAACAATTAGTAAATTGATTTAATATAAACAAAAAAAAAAAATATTAATCCTACAAATATATGAAAAAAAGAAACAACTGGAAAATTTAATGATAAACCCAAATCTGGTCGTCCGCGTATCATTTATTAACATTATGAAAGGAGAATTGTCCGACTGATCACGTCAGACAAATGCTCAACAGCTTAAATCTAAAGATCTAATAAATATCACAGTTGAGACTAAACGTCGAATATTGAGAAAGAATAGGCTAGTTGCACAAGTAAACACTTGTTTATAAAACCCATAAAAAAATGACTAGCATGGGCGAAACGATATCGCAAAAGGATAATTAATGATTGGAGAAAGGTGGTATGGTCAGATGAATCAAAGTTTCTTGGTTCTGACGGAACAGTATTGTTGGAGGAAATCTTTAACTGATCGAAATTGTATACCAACGGTCTAATTTGATGGTTGTGGAATAATGATTTGGAGTTATATGACGACCAAGGTATAAGTAATCTGATTAGGATCGAAGGAATATGAATAGATCTATAGACAAATAATGGAAGGAGTCCACTTACATTCACTTTTTCGACCTGATGCAGTTAATGCATCAGTTTGCTGCAACAAGTGGTCCTAACTTGTATGTACATTTTCCATTATTTGGGTGTTTCTACCAAATTTGTTTAGATATTTATTAATTTTGTCAATCATTTCATTCTTGATCATGATCATGACAATGGATTTGAATCACCAGCTAAATAACATTTTTTTTTTAAAAAAAAAAGAGAAATCCGTTCCTACATTAGCCAATTTTAGACATTAATTAGGGAAGCCTTGGGCGTGATTCAAACCACCCGCGATCACAGCATTGCTTATATTTTTTTGTACAATATAAATCAAAAAATAAAAAATTAATGAAGTGATCCAAAAGCCTGAGGAAAAAATTCAAAACAAAAATGCGGAAATATATTCGATTTCTACGGTAAAAAGTGAAAAAAATGAAGGTAGTTAATAGAACAAAATGAAAACTAAACGAAAGTTATAATAAATTAAAAATAAATACCGCGCTTACTCTTAATTAAGCCAACCCAAAATGTGAAGCTAAAGAAATAAAAAAAAACCCCCCACATTAATAACAACAGTCTGCAGCGATCCAACTTGCTTAATAAAATAAAAAATAAAAAATGATTTAGAAATAGAACTAAAATAAAAACCTTAATTATGCAACATGTGATCCAACTCGAGAAAATTTAAAAACAATCGTCTAAAAGAAAAGGAGAAATAAACTGTAATTAAAAAAAAATAAAAATAAAAAAAAAAGTCTTACAACAAATCAGACCAGTCCTCCATCAAGAATCTGAAAAATTATCAAAAAAAAAATCAATGAAAATATGTGCATCTTTAGTTAATTTAGTAAATTTGCCCACCAAATTTTTTTGTCAAATATAAAAATCTCGGCTTTGATCAATCAGGTGAGCAATATCATGTGATATATTTGAAAATCAGATGAGATTTATATTAAATTAAAATTAAAAATTATGTCGGTGCTGCTATAGTATAGCGGTATAAAGCACTTGACAATTCTAATCTCGAATACTGGGTTCGAGTAAAACTAATACCAAAAAAAAATAAAATTAAAAAAAAAAAAAAAAAAAAAAAAAAAAAAAAAAAAATTTTTTTTTTCTTTAAAATTATATTTTAAAGCATTACATAGAATAGTTTTAAGTAGCTTATTAAATTTGAACGTTGTAATATATCATGAATATTTCATACTTGAGAATTATAAAATCAAAGAATATCCATGTTCTACTAACACGTTGTTTAATTTCCTAAAGTATTCTACTAAAGTGCATATGACCTTGCCCATTATAATACACGTTCTAAAAGATTTTCAAGCTTCTTTTTTCCCACTACAAACGACATCTCATATGATAAGGCTAAAAAATAGAAGCTTTAGCGACGAAACTTATTAACGCTTACTATTCTTTATCTTATTAGAAAAGTAAGGAAGGACAAAGACGGTATCGTTTTCGTAATTTGTGTTTTTATCTTTTTTTTTATTTTTTTCTTTTAGTACAAACCATGTAACGACGGGGTAACGTACGGTTGATGTTTGACGGAAAGTATTTAATTTAAAGCTAACAACAGTATTGGGCTTTAAGAGGGATGATGCCACTTATGGGCGGTGTTTCTTTAATGGTCTGCTTTTTTGGTGTAGGAACCTTCCCTTACAGATCAATCAAACAACGCCAATGAGCGAGCTGCTTCTTACTTTCTGAGTATCTCTTGAAGTTACCTGCCACTAAAATTGCTAGCTGAGGTTTCATTCGCGAAGTGAAAATTGGAACGATCAAGATCCAGAAAGTGGGGGTTCTGTATCATCTTATGGTATGGTTACAAAAAGTTATGTACTTTATTTAGAGAATTGTCCCGAAATTATTCGCATGGGTTTATCTTTAATATATATATGTTCCTTTATATAGTCATTATAATAGTTTATTTATTTTACTTTATGCTCTTTGGTGAGTTGTATGGTTGTCTTTTATTTAATATATTTCAATATAATTTTTATTCAATAGAATAAATAATTGTAATTTAATTATAAAAGTACTGTGATATTTACAAAGTAACATATAAATAGCATTTCTATAATGTTCAAATTATATTAAAATAAGAATTACTGCGTGGTAAACTTTAAGATGCTATATATTTAAGGTCGTAAGGAAGTCCGTAATCACTAATAATAAAATTTATAAATTTTATAAAATTAGATAATTTCTATTTGTACATGTCATATGTGACTCAAATGCCCTTAAAATAATTGGCAATTTTAACAAAATAAATTCTACATGTACATAATAGAAAATAATAATAATTATATAATTAAGAGGAACATTATGATATTAAAAATCTTTATATTGTTCGTTCTTTGTATGTCCGCTCTCAGTTTTCGCGTAATTCTTTCTATTTCTAAACGTTCAGTAATATCTTGGTCATTTTGGTTGTTCATCTAAAAAAAATGTAAAGTTTTAACAGATGGTATATGTAAATATAACTTTATTCACGAAACGAGTATACAATTGTTAAAGAAAAAAAAAAGAAAAGATGTATTTGATTTTAAAGCATGATGGAAGTTTGATTTTGTTTTCATAGCCGCTTTCGAATTAGCGTGATCAGGTGATTTATCGATCTATTAAAATTACAAAAGCAAATGTTTTCGTACCACCTGAAAATTTTAATAAAATTGACGTTTCGTATGGTCATTATATTCTCCTTGTTATCCTTTGATTTTCCCAAGATCCGAACGTCCGACTTTTCCCTTTCTGTTTGATATTATTGACACGTTGTTCGTGTTAGATAAAAGTTTAAAAGTTAATACAATGTTCGTTTTCTACAACTCGGTCATTCACTTTGCATAAGAAATAAATACAATAAATACACTTAGTCGGAAGAAGCTCCATAGTATAGGTTTTGAATTCAAATTTCTGAGTGAGCATGACTACCAGGGTCAGTGATTCCTGTAAAGATACTCTCATCTATAGAATTTAAGTAATGAACAATAATTCAACCTATGTTGTCTGGTTATCTAAACTTTAATGAAGTTCAAAACTATTGAAACTTGGAATAAAGAAAGTGATTGACAATAAAAGAGAATAAATATCTAAGTTAGCATTTTTTGTCCACTTCGTCATATTCAAATAATTGTTCAACATTATGTTGTGCGGTTTTACAAATGGAAATATATATTAATTAGAAAGCAATAAAATTGATATACTGATTAATGATTATATGTGATACTGTACAAGTTCTATTTGATATTGAAGGCAGGAAATTTATAAAACTCAACAAGTAGAATGGATCAATTAGAATGTATTTTTTTTTGCTGGACATGGATAATACGAACGTCAGATATATTATTGAATCGAATATTATAATAATCGTTTATGAATTATAATTTCAAATTAACTATCAAAATCATTCTTTTAGATTCATAGAAATGTTCGATCACGATATATCATAATTTTATTCACCTCCACTTCTTTTAGAAATTTAAACCTTCCAACTTTATTAAATTTATTTTTTTTTTATTAAGCAAATTTCATATTCACTTACAAATTAACTTTTTCTCTAAATACTAACGCTAATATACAATGAATTTTAAATTAAAACAAGTCTCATAAATTTATTGAGAGGAAGAAACTCAATTGGATTCATAATCTATGGATTAGTTAATTGTGGTGCTGGAACACTCGCTGTTGCTGTAAATTGGGATACAGACACCTATTTCCAGTACAAAATCATTTCCATTTTACCGGTTTTAATTCTTCAATGAATTTTATAAAATTATAATTGTATGCCGCTTCAATGATGGTTAGCATAAGGTAAGCGTATAACTTTGCCCATTGATAGATATAAATGTACAGGAATCTGATGCATGATTAATAAAACTTCGTCACTAAATCTAATAATCTCGTTGATCACAGAATTTTTTTTTATTTTTTTTTTATTTTTAATTACTAATTATTATTTCTTTCTCTCCAAGAACCATTAGATTTCAGATTAATCGTTTTTTACTAATCATTAAATCATCTTTACGATTAAATTTGAAAGTTGTTTCAAGATTCAAGCATTCAATTCATCATTCTAAAAGATCCGAGTTTAGATTTTTATCAGTCTTGATGTATCTAAGAGTTTGACGCCGGTCTATTGTAATATTCTCTCGTCCTACTAAGGAAATATTACGGCGTAATGAATTTAAAGTTTAGAAACATTTTATTGATTTCGTCTATGTTGTAATAATAATTGAATGGACATATTCTGCACGATTCCAAACTTTAATGTCATATGTTAACTAATACGATCGTACGGTTTAACATTTTCGTCAATTGTATGAATGAATAAAAATGATCATTCGTCAAAGTTTCCTTCCTGTATGCATTGTGATTTGGTAATGATATATTATGATTATTGTTGTTTCATAATTAACTTTTTATATATGCATTGATAGCATTTCGGCAACGTGTTAGTTAATTCATCAAGGTGTTTGTTGGATTATCAAAAAGAATTGAAACAGCGACTACACAGTCAAAAGTTTTTGGAGCAATTCCTTACGTTGACCCCAAATTTTTTATCAATCATCACAATTTAAATTAAATTAAAGAGAGACGCTTTAGTGTTGGCGTACTTTTAAGGGAATTATCAAGCGGTCATCCTTCTTTTATGTTAAAGATGAAGAATATGACTTAAGTTTAGCTATCTAAATTTTAGATAAAAGAACATCCTGAAGAAAATGCAATTATAATAAATAAGAATGATCAAACGAATAATTATGAATTAATTCTTTAACAACGTCGTTTGGATAAAGTCGATGCTTCTTCTAGTACAAATAATTTATATGGATTATTCGATTTGAACAAATGATTCTTTATGTATCTAATAATTCCGAAGTTATTCATCATTTAGAAGGGTTAGAATCAAATGTTGAAAGATATATAAAATCTTAACGATTACAGAACTTAATAAGGATGGAATATTAAACGTCTTTGGAGGAATACAAAGTTATCATAAATTATCTAAACTATTTTGCAATGATACTAAAATAGGGTAGATAGAAAACCGGTACGGTACGTATCGCGAAATTTGAATCGTACCGGTTTTCCATATACTCCTAAAATTACTAGCTTACAAACTTTACCAAACTCCTTAAAGGTACTTTATTGCTCTCATTCTCAAATAACTTCCTATCAACTTTACCCGACTCCTAACATTTCTTGATTGCTCTTGTACTCCAAAAACTATCCTACCAACTTTACCAAACTCCCTAATGGTACACAGATGTTAGAACACTAAAATAATTTCTTGATTGCTCTGATTAATAACTATCCTACCAACTTCTCCTTCTGCACTTGAAGGTTTTAACACTAAAATGAATAGCTTACCAAATTTACCCAACTCCTTAACGGAACAACCTCAAGACTGTATAGTACGACGGGTTACGAGAATCTAAAAAATCAATTTGCCCGGCTGATGTTGGAACTTTTTATGTTCTATCAGATTTCAGGTATATTTTTGATTTTTAGTACTTTCTAGACTCCAAATAGAAAATGAAACACCACGAGCAATGTAGTAGTATTTTCATTGTTTTAGGGTATATCCTGCAACAAAAAATGACTTGCCAACTTTCGCATGAACAGTATGCAGTTGCAGGTGTAGATGGTGAACATTTGCAGTACGTGTTTCTTTATTTTCATTTTATTTTTTAACTTTTAACTTTTCCTTAATTTTGGTTCTTTCTCTTTGGGCCTTAGCGATAGAACGATAGTATAATTATTAAGATCTTTAGGCTTGGATCGCTTTAAAAAGGGAATATAGCAAACCTGTACAGTACGGTAGTAATGTATGTAAAGTATGGTTTTTTTTCATATATGTATAGTATTAGAAATTATACAAGTATGGACTATTTGTTATGAAAATACCATACATTGTAGTTTTTATAGATACATACTATACATCATTCAAAAAAAAAAAGTACAATACATACATTGCTAATCGTACTGTACAGGTTTGTGTAATACTCCTTCGAAAATACGCGGTGTGCTTTTTGTTTGTATAGTTTTTTAGTTTCATTTTTTTAATTGTAAATTTATTTATTTTTTAAAATTTCTGATTTTAAAGTCTTTTTAATTTTCCGTTTTTTGTTTATCATTTTCTTTTTTTAAGGTTTCTCTCTCGAGTTAAAATATTTGATCTTTGCATTCAATCAAATTTTTATAGCTTCACTTATTGCGCCACTAAATACTAGAAATCAAATTGTTTTTCTTAAAAAAAAAAAAAGGTAGTGAACTAGAATGAGGTAATAAAAATTGGAAAAGCTATTAAAAAAAAAATTTTTCATTAAATCAAAAAGATATTAAAAAGTTAATGGATTGATTACTAAGTTAGGAAAGGCCTTAAAAAAATTGAGAATAATTCATTTTCCATCATGTGAGATTCCATCATTTGTCAATTACTTTTTTTAAGAAAAAATAATTATAAAAAAAACGTTTTCTTTGTATTCTGAAAAATATGTTGAATGAGTTGATTCAAAGAAATTAATTCTATTGCTGTAAGGTTGTCATCTTCGTTAATATTTTTTTTACTTTTTACACGCTGAAAATTTTTATTTTAATTAGATTGAGAATATTTTTCTTAATAATTGACAGAATTATTTGTATTAGAGGCCTGCAACGGGCCGAGTCTAGTGCGGGAACCCAGCCCTGACCCAGGTTCTGAGCCGGATACGTAATTTCAAAAGTTGCGGATGTCGGTGCCAATCAAATGATTAGAAATTTATCGGCAAATTACAGTATTTAGCGCCAAAAATCGCCACGAATATTTTTTTTTCTATAAGTATTTTAAAAATAAATTCTTTAGGTGGATATAAACAATCTTTACCATAAGTATTTTCACATAGTAAACAAATGAGACAAATAGGACTTGCATTTATACGGAAGTTTAATGAACTATTCATTGTTAAAGTTAAATAAAGTGAGTGAAAAATTGAAAAGTTTTTATATTTTATTGGTGCTAACTAATTTATAAATTTGATTGGCGCCGAGAAAATTTTAATCATTTAATTGGCACTGACATTTCTGACATTTCCGAACAATCCGACAGTGCCGATAACTAAAATTTACATGTCCCACAACTTTTGAAATTAGCTGTAACCGGTTAACATGTTAACCGTTTTAACCGGTTCCTACCTCAAAATTAATATCCACAATTTTTTTTTATTAAAGTAGAAAAATTAATTTAATTAAACTTCTTTATTATCAATATAATTAAATGTTTTAAAATTTTGGTGATATATTTTTAGTGATGGATCGGTCCTGATAAGACCGGTCTTAGACCGGTTAATGGGACCGGTCCTTGCGGTCCTCGGTCCATGTTCTGA